TTCTGTATGCCATGGACATGAGGGAATGGCGATATGCCATTTCTGAGATCGATGGATATGTGCCGGTCAAGGGAAACCAGCTGGTTGAAGCTTCTCTGCATTCGTTCCCTGACTCACCCAGAGAGCCGATATCGGAAGAGGCCTTCACCAAGCAGGAGGTTCGGGATAAGTTTGCAGCCTGGAGAGCATCCTTGTTATTGAAGGACCTTACGATTCCGGATGGGTTGCACCCTGTTGGCCGGTTGTACTACTGCTCCAAGGTGAGTTTTTGTCGTGTGTTTAAAGTCTTGTGCCTTGAACGTGCCAAGGTGAGTTTTGTTCGTGTGTTTAGAGTCTGTTGCTTTGAACAGGCATGGGGGATGCCGAGCTTTGAAAGCGGCTTTGCAGCCATCTCAGTGGGAGAGCTCAAGTTGTACTCGGGTATCCTGATTGGCCAGCGAGTGCGGCACTGGACTCCAAGGAAAGTTTGGCAGTTCGCACCTGATGGTGGGCATGTGCCATGCTGAGGCCCCATGGATTAACGTAGCTTTTGACCTTTGTTCCTTCCGCTTGACAAGCTTTTCCTTCTCTTAGGTGTGAAGTGAGTGTGTCAACTTAGACTTCTAACTACAACCTGTAATATCTTAGAATCATTGTCTTTAGCCAGAGCGTGTTTCTAAATTGTTTGGATCCCATATTGTTCTGCAAAAATTACAAAAAGATTCACGTAAACTACGCATTTTCAAATGATGCTTTGTTCTCCGAACGAATGTCCTATGCCCGTTCTATTTCTATGCGTGCATTTGCCGGAAGGGGCAGCGCAAGCCTCCATCGTAGTATGGTCCAAGCTTGCCTGATTTCAGCGCTCCCAGCTCCGCCAGCTTGTATCCCTTCTCAAATGCCGGTGGCCGATACACATTCACGTTGAGCTGCCGGTACTCTTCCGGATTGGCAGCGGGATTAGGACACCAGTCCACCTCAATGCTGCCCTTTGCATCCTCCACACGCCTGGGAGGCAAGAACGCGGACACGAAGCTCCCGGCCAGCAGCTTGAACGCACCCAAGATGATCCACTCCACAATTGCTGGAGGCTTTTCCAATCCAACAGCGCTCCTGATTGTGGGATCGATGAGTGCACAGATCCCAGTCTCGACCAGCGGCTGCACGGGGCGAGGAAATGCATCCAGCACCAGATGCTTGAGATCCTGGACGATGCTCTTGTTCTTGTCCGTCAAGATGGCGTTCTTGGCCTCGTAATCGCAAATGTACTCCCGCATCTCTGGAATGCTATCTGGGATGGTTGTGATGCCCATCCTTACGCCCACGTCGTGCCACACAACATACGCGGCCTCCTTCTCGTTGTCGGTCCACTTGCGGAATCCAAATCTCTCGGAGAAATCAATGGGGCTGACCACGTTGAGGCAGAGGACGTAGGCGAATTGGTCGTTTGGGATCTTGAATTTGTTGTGGATTCCATTCAATCTCCTCACCGCGTATGAGCCGCGATCGCTGTCGAGGTGGTGGTGGATCATCTCGCTCACCAGAATGTTGGTCTCGGCGGCGCGCTTGTGCGGGTCCTTGAGGCCGTACTTGGTCTTGAAGAGCAGATTTGTGATGCCCGGGATGCCGAGCGTGCGGATTGTGCCAAAGTCGAGCGCCTTTTGCGAGAGGAAGGGGAATTCCACCGAGTACATGTACCACAAGATCTTGTGGGGGTCTCTCACGGGGTGGAGCGACGCTAGAAATCGTGCCCTCTCTTCTCTCTTGCGGAAACACACCATCTTCCATGCTGCAGCCATCACGAGAAACGCAATCATCAACACGATTGCAGCCATTTCGAAATGGTGAAAACTGTT